GAAAGGGGGAGCTTTTGGGGCTATAAATCCTGAAATACCACATTTCAATTACACCAGATTCCCTTAAAATCCTTTATGGTCATGGACATGTACATGTATATCCAAACTACACATAAAGTCATAGATGTTTCAATGCAATTAAGCAGTGAAGATGCCACACAGCATTGTCAACTTGTTACACAGCTCACTATTACTTAGCCAAGTTTTGTTGTTAAAAAATTAGAGCTCCATTCACTTGGGAGGAAATTTGAAGAGGAGCAGGGGAAATATGATTATATGCCTTTTTAGCTCACCTGGCCTAAAGGGCCATGGGAGCTTATGGCATCGAACTACTGCGCAGATTTTTCTGAAACTTTATATATGTCCTCTAAAAACTTTTCATTTTTACCCAATCAGAAATAAAGTTGCTTTTACTATAAATAGGACATAGGATGGTATGCATTTTTTTCTTTGCTTAATTTTCTGACGTTAATGTAGACAGGCAAACCTTGCAGGTGGAAAATAATCAGGAAGGTAAGATCCAGCTACCTAGCAAGTTTCATTAAATTCTGTTCATATTTGTAGAAGTTATGGCCAATGGATGGTTAAATTCTCTTGATTTTGCAGTTTCCTCTTAAACATTTTAAAATCTCATGTGAAGAGACTTTCATATGTGAGTGTAAAGCGTGTCCTCTACAATTTATATTTATGATTTATAAAATCGTAAATAAGGCCAATATTTCTATTGATAGAACATAGGGGCAATATGGTAGTTTTCTAATAATAATCAGTATTCTCAATTTTCTATAACTGGGGCTTCATTCCCAATTCAAAGAAATACCTTTTTTCCCAATTGAATGTGTTCATTTTCCCAATAGTCATTTCTCCCAAAAATGAAAGAAAGTATAGTTGAATACATAATAACTAAACTTGCTTTTCAATTTTCATATTCCTCTGTATTGCAAAACAAAAATTTAGTTATTATCAAAGACCAAAGCTCTAGTATGATTTTAAAGTAGAATGGTTATCCCAAAATTTTCCAAAATGTCGCTATTTTCCATATCTTTACGGCCCCGGCCCCATTCCCAAAAAGTGGTGCGAGAGCCCTGCAGTAAAAGCAGTACGATAAAGTTTAGCAAGGGTTAAAATAATCAAAATGGCAAGATTATTGGGTAATTTACTTGGCAAGCTCCCTAACAATTTGTGCACTAATGTGGGAGTTATGGCCCCTGAAATGTTAAATTCAGTCTTATAATTCTTGCAGTTTTCATCCTCACAACGTCAAGGGTCCTGTTTCAACTCGTTTCCGTGGGACCCCTGACAAATTTTATTCAATATCTTACGGACTGACGGGAAAGCTACAAATCTTGACTCTTTTTCTTATTTCTCAATCACATTAAGGTGTCAACCGATTCCTTTCTGTTTACATTATCTGTCTACCTCAATTTGATTGGTGCTACTTAAGACAAGCAGACCCGAATAAAGCCAACTGAAATTTGTCAGAGGTCCCTTGGCAACGAGTTGACAGAGGACCCCTGACATTGTGAGGATGGCAGTTTTTAACTTCTTGCAAATAGAATTTCTTGAAAACAATTGGAGTCATATATAACTGTAGTGGCAAATCAAATAGTATATTAAGGGCCTCTTTTCTACCCAATTTCATTTGATCCCTAATGTTGGAGTAATTTAATAGCCTTTAGAATATAAAGAACAAGGCGAGCAAAATGCCTATAGTGCGACAAACATGAAGGTGAAAAATTAATTCTCATTTATAGCAAAATTTTCTTCAATATTTCATCTAACATTAAGGTATACTTTATGTCAAATCTATGTAATTTGCAGAAATCTCACAAAGATTAAAATTATTTGCCTATGAAATACTGCATACACGCACAAAAGAGGGCAAAAAGGATCATTTTCTCATACTAAAACACAAATTTGCAGCGATATGAGTGGGTCTTCGTTCCATTTTTTTTCTTGAAAGTTTGTTCTTAAAGTTTGAGTAAAAATCTACATTTTTTGGTTAACAGAAACATGGAGCAAAGACCCACTATACCTTAACAGTACACTTTTATGACACAACATTCGTATCTTTCCGAGAAGGTATTCGAATAATTTTGGCGGACACAGAGTTTCATGACGTTGCAAAGTAGGGAAAATTCGTCTGAGTTTTCAGTAACGTAATATGCATTAGAATGAGGATTAACGCAAGAGTTTGAGTAAAAACCAATACCAGATAGAAGATATAATTTTAAAGAAAAAAACTGATCAAAGTTATTTTTCTCTTAATCAGTACTTATACGCAAGGGTGCAAATTTAACGATTAAAATTTTAGTAGGATCCCACAAAACTGCTAAAATAAGCCAAAGTTAGCACCACGTTGAAAAATTCCCGCTATATACGTTTAAAATAAATAAATACCAAATTTTACAGTTAAGGCGAAATGGGATCAAACCTAAACAACTGGTTCGTTAGTTTGAGCTAGTATAGATATCATTTGCTAAATTATATTTCGATTGAATACACTTGAATCAATTATTTATTTTAAATACTGACAAATATCAAATGTAGAATTCCTGCAAAAGTCTACATTCAATTTTACTTCCAAAGATGAAAGCAACAAATACAAGACATGTTTGTAGTATACCCCTGTAATTGGCAACTTATAGTGAAGTTTAATTTTCTCAAAATGCAAATCAAATATGTTGGTACCCAAAGTATAAGGTCTTATCTCGAGAAATATACCTGTGAAATATGAAAGCCTTAGCAGCAACCATTGAAAAGATGTGGAAAAGGTTAGAGCTTTTCAAAAGTAAGTCAAACATCAAGGTCAAAATTAACTGTGCCCAAGGAAAGGAATTCTCACAAGAAACACACAGGTGAAATATGAAAGTCCTAGCATCAACCGTTCAAAAGGTATGGCCAAGTTAGAGTTTTCCAAATATAGGTCAAACTCCAAGGTCAAAGGGTCAAAGTTGTTGGTATCCGAAGGAAGGCCTTGTCACATGGATTACACGTGAAGTATGAATGCTTTAGTACTAACCATTCAAAAGTTCTGGCCAAGATTAAAATTTTTCAAAAGTAGGTTAAATTCCTAGGTAAATGTTGTTTGCATCCGAAGGAAGGTCTTGTCACAAGGATTACATTTGTGAAGTATGAAAGCCCTAGCACCAACAGTTAAAAAGTTATGGCCAAGTTTAAAGTTGGGTAAAATTTTGCAAATCTGGGTCAAACTCCAAGTTCAAGGTCAAAATGTCAATTATGATGGTACAGTAACCCAAAGAAAGGTCTTGTCACAAGGAATACACATGTGAAATATGAAAGCCATAGCTCCAACCAATCAAAAGTTATGGGCAAGGTTTAAGTTTTTGCGAACAAATAGGCAGACAGACAGACGGATGGACAGGGCAAAAACTATATGCCCCGAATCTTCGATTACAGGAGCATAAAAATACAAAGACACATTTTACTAGTTGATTCTGAAAGGGAAGGGATTGGGGTGAAAACTTTTTTGAGTCAGATTATTTTCATGTAAGTCAAGGATAGATTATTATTTTCAAGATGATCAAGGATAGATTATTTATTTTCTTCTTCATTGCAAAAAGTTTGACAAACAAATTAAAAAAATTAAAGTTAAATTCAAAACTCCAAAACTCGGGGGGGGGGGGGTTAAAAAAAATTAAGGAAAGATTACATATTTTCTTGCCAGTTGAGGACAGAATTTTTTTTGACATTTTCGAGGACATTATTTATTTCCAATAACTGGCCCCTCCCTTCAGACTCCAATGGTCGTCCCTTTACAGACAATGACAACTTTATGTTACTTGATTTAGGTAATCAAACCACTCAAAAACTGCTATTCCTTTCAAGGCCTATACACTGGTGAATATGGATGATTTACATTCATTGGATGGTGCACTAGTATTAATAAGTAAACACCATGTTAATCCCTATAAGGATAGAATGTTCTCTAATGATTGATTGATTGTGTGTTGTTGAACGTCCCTCTCGAGAATTTTTCACTCATATGGAGACGCCACCACTTGCCGGTGGAGAGCTGCAAATTTTGTCCTATACTCGGCACTTACGGCCATTGAGCAGTGAGGGGTCTTTTTCGTGCCAGCACCTACTGCGACACGGGGCCTCGGTTTATACGGTCTCATCCGCAGGACTGGTCTCCACGTCCCACAGTGGGATTCGAACCCGCGACGCAAGGATCAACTCCTGACTTCGCGACTCTAGAGCAGACGCTCTAACCACTGCGCCACGCGGACGACTGTTCTCTAATGAGAATGGGTCATTCATAGATAGCAGTGTCATCTATTTTTATGCCCCCGGATTGAAAGATCCCGGGGGTATATTGTTTTTGTCCTGTTTGTCTGTTTGTTTGTCCGTTTGTCTGTCTGTCTGTTGTCAACTTTAACCTTGTCCATAACTTTTGATTGGTTGGAGCTATTACTCATATTTCACATGTGTATTCCTTGTGACAAGACCTTTCTTTGGGTACCATCATATTTGACCTTTTGACCTTGGAAACCCCAAGCACCAACTGTTCAAAAGTTATGGCCAAGGTTAAAGTTTTTCAAAAGTAGGTCAAACTCCAAGGTCAAGGTCAAAAGGAAGGCCTTGTCACAAAGAATACACATGTGAAGTTTGAAACCCCAATCACCAACTGTTCAGAAGTTATGGCCAAGGTTAAAGTCTCATAAAATTTTGCAAAAGTGGATCAAACTCCAAGGTCAAGGTCTAAAGGTCAAAAATGATGGTATCCAAAGAAAGGTCTTGTCACAAGGAATACACATGTGAAAAATGAAAGTCATAGCTCCAACCAATCAAAGGTTATGGGCAAGGTTAAAGTTGACAACAGACAGACAGACAAACAGCTAAACAGACAGACAGGACAAAAACAATATACCCCCGGGATCTTTCGATCCAGGGGCATAAAAATTTCCAAGTAATCAAAATCAATCTCCATATTTGTCTGTATTTCATAGAATATTTACATTTGTATTTTCACACAGGGTCTTGAAGAACAAAATAAAGCGCGTAGTTCTGATGAATTACTGATCTCTTGCAATGGTTAGTATACAACTTGTAGTTGAAGGGTAGGTCCTATGTGAAATTTTCATGTTAAGGTTCATCATCCCTAATCATAGTCAATTTTGTTTTTACACTAATGGTTTTACAATAGAAATCTAATTCATATGCAAAATGCACACATTTTCAGCATACACTGCAGGATAAAATTTAACAGAAATGGTCTTATAACTATTGGAACTTTACAAGGAAACAATGTCATTTATCCTAACGAGTATCTCTCTTATCAGAGGGTCAGCGAACCTTAACTGGACGTTATTACCTGTGTAGCTTCGATTTTGTTTAAAACAAGACTACAACTTATCTAGTTGTAAGCATCCCTGTGTTGTCTGGATTTCGATTTATTCAGATTCTTTATACTGTGACACTATGTAAAAATCCTCTGCTGAAGAAATTCAAGTCTACATGTAGTATATATGTCAAATCAATGGGATAGGGATCCAAAATAGGAAAATAGAGCAAGTACAATATGTCAAATCAATTGGATAGGGGTCCAGAAGGGGAAAAAAGCATGTACAATGTCAAATGAAAGCGATAGGAGTCGAAAAGGGTAAAAAAAGAGTTGGAATTTTTTGTGGTGCACGCAGTAGTTACAGAAATTTCCATTTTGGAGTTCTTAATGTGCCTGTTATTAGAGAACCCAACACTGTAGGTTTTCATATGAAGCTGTAGCTTAGTGAATTATTTCTAGCTAGCCTGCTTTTAAAGAATCTAGAATGCATTCAAGAATGGAATTTTAGAATGAAACAACAACATCCTAATCTCACTAAAATGTGTTTAATTTACAATATGCGTGAAAAAATAAAATAATATTTTGTCACAAATTGTCCTGAAATTTAGTAAGTTATGTTGACATTTTCAATTTTGAAAATTATCAAATTACAAAACCATTATGGAATATAATTTGATTTCATTCAGAAACTTTTTTCTAATGTTATCCGAAGGCAAAGACAAGGACTTGAGACAACTGGAAAATAACGAGAAATGCAACAAAGAAAAGACGAAGAAATCTCACAAAAGACCTAAAAATATAATGAACTGTGTTGTAAGTTACGATTCAGACGGAAATCCCATTATAAGTACAGATGATAGAGGTGGAGTAGGTGTCAATACGACAAAGAATGGAGATATCGAGGACACATTAAGTGAAGTGATGGAACAGAATAAAAATGTTATGGAAGACCTGGTATCGAAAAAGGAAAATCAAGTTGAAATGCACTTAGACATTCCAGTGAAAGATAGCAGCAGCGAGGAAATTCCAACGAAAGATGAGAACCACAAAGAAAAGCCATTAGCTGACAAACCGGATCAAAAGTTCAAAGAAGAACAGAAAACAAATACCCGTCCATCATCGAAACAGAATCATTCTTACGAAAAGCCTCCTCGATTCATTAAGAAAGGTCAGATAATCCATTTGAATAAGGAATTTGTTGAACAGTTAGAGCAATTATTACATGGAAATGTACAATCTTTTTAGCAAAACGATGAGGATTTGACAAAACTTTCATTTAATACTGAGCAAATTTTCTTTTAATGAAAATAATTCTTTCTGTTACTTTGTTTTTTGTATTTCAGAAATGGAAGAACTACAAGCAAAGCAGAAAATGGAAATTACTACTTCACAGTCATCAAACAAGGTTTTTATGATACATGTATACGATTTGATATCGCTATGTTTGATCGATTGTCTGAATTCGAATCTGGATTTTGAATTGGCAGCGTTATATCGGTTGAAATTTTCAAAACCGAATCCAGGCAGCGTCTTGAACCCCCCCCCCCCCCACACACACACACACATTAAGCTGGGAACATTGATTTGCTATTACCGCACATAGCACCAATCTTTTATTACCAAGTGGCTCAGCGCCAATTTTTTTTTCAGATCCCTATAACCTAATGATATCCCAAATAAAACGACAAATCTGGTCAATCAAGTCACCATCCAAATGATACTTACATGTGAATGAATTGTTACGTAATTGACTACGAAAAGCTTCGATGATTATCGAAGCTTGTATGATTATCAGACCGAATCGTCGCTCTTATTTTAGATCAGATGATTTCTGTTTTGCTTACAATATTTAATTGATGATTTTAAGCGTAGATAAACTATAGCTCATCAGTATTTCATGAATCTCTTTCTGCGGGCGTGGTCCAAATGCAATCCATATGTTCTATATTTAGTCCTGACGGTACCAATTCTTTTGAATTCTCTTGCAATTCTTAAAATTCAGAAATTAAAAAAAAAAGTGTATCAGTATGTAACATTAACCTTCCATTTATTTTTTTTATAGCCTTGGGAAGATTCAGAAGACCATTCATTTTTACGATCCCCTCAAAAGTGAGTTTTATTTCTGATTCTAGTTGAAAGGTCAAACTACTTTCCAAGTCCATAAGTTTACCTTTTGCAACCTCAATAAAATGTAATCCTATAATGATTTTTCTTAAATTTTTTTCCCGGGTTACTGATATCAATTCTCTATCTCTCTCTCCTTCTTAATCACAGGCACTTGTTTTTTAACCCATAGTAAATATACTATGATTTAAACAATTTATTACAGAAACAAGTGCCCGTGTTCTTAATATTTAATGAATCTTTGTCATTTCCAGAACACCAGAGAAAGAAGATTCGACTCAACCTTTATCACCATCGCCTGTAACTTCCGTGAATTCAAGCATGCCAACTGTTACAGTCGTTTCTACGAATCCACTCTGTCATTCTGACACTATCGTTCCCCCATACATTCCCTTGTCTTTACCATACTGCCCAGACTACAGTTCCACCTACTGGCTGCAATATCAAATGTCACATGGTGTTCCGGACTCTAGTACAACTACATCAATATCAGATAAGAGTCCATCCACCTATACAACGACTACTATATCGTGTGCACCCAGTATGCAATCCTACCAGACATACCAAACCTTATCGAACACCGTGTCATCAACTCCTCACGTTTCGAATCCACCCTCTTCAGTTTCAGGACCCAAAGATTCTACTTTTTATCCTATAGTACCACCTCCTTTTTCTCCTATTGGACCACCCCCCAGTTCAACCACAACACCTCTTTTTTCTCCTAGTGGACCACCTCCTATCTCAACCTCAACCCCTCCTTTACGGTATCCAATCAGTGTACCACCGTTTCCGCAGTATCTACCGACATTGCCACAATATGCACATCCCTCATTGCACACAAATATGGCACCTCAATTTTACAATAATACGTATTTTCTTCCTGTTGCCTACCGTCCTTTGTTTCATCCATCAACAAGATATCCTTGTCAAAACCAGCCAGTGTCTATGGTAGGTTATTTGATAAATTCCAATGTACGTGCGGGAATCGGGAATACTTTCCGGACACCACCACCTTTTTGCACTGCAATTTCTCCAGATACCATGAGAACAGAAACTTTTACAAGTGGAAACAATAATACTCCTCCTTCTGGAAATGGTGATTTATAGGAAGGCAAAGGTAAGGAACATTTTTTCTAAGACTTGGTTTCTTGACACATTGTACTTCGTCATGAGGCAATGACACATTACACGCAGAGAGCCATCGAAAGATGCATGCCTAACATTTCGCGTAATAAGGTCAAGATCTAGTATATGAAAGAGGGCGTAAAGATTAATTTCTCAAAGATGGACGAAGCTTTGGGAATGCCTATAGCTTAAAAATCATAAAATCAAATTTAATCTGTGAACTAAAGTATTTTGTTATTGAAAAGCTTAAAATTGTGACAAACGTTTTCACTATATAATTCTCTCGGCAAATATTATTCTATGGTTAAAAAATTGTGGTTTTCTTGGGTTTGATCCTAGGCAATAAATTTTTTATACCCCCGTCATGAAAAGGCTGGGGCATATGGTGTTACCCCATTTCGGCCGTAATTCGTTCACTCCGTAATTCTCTCATTCCTTCACAGTTTTCCTGACTTTCATTTTTGCTATGCTTATGGAAATGAGTTGATTTTTGGTATGTCCATGTTATTGATGACTTTCAGATCAAGTGTCGTGTTATTGGTCCATTTTCACAAAAGTTGTGGCCCTTCGACCTTGAAATTTTCCAATAATTTACTGTTTTCCGGACTTTATTTTTGCTGTGTTAGTAGATGATGAGTTGATTTTTGATATATGTTACCGATGACTTACAGATCAAGTTCAAGTTTAGTGTTGCTTGACTCATCTTAATGAAAATTATGGTCCTTAAACTTTGAAAATTTTCTAGTAATGCACTTTTTACGGACTTTATTTTGCTATGCTTGAAGATAATGCACTGATTTTTGGCATATCTTTTTACATTGATGACTTGCAGATCAAGTTCGAGTGACATGTTGATTGCATGCGCGGATCTAGAGGGGGGTCGATGGAGTCCGGACCCCCCCCCCCCCACTGGAATTTTCAGAGTTATTAAAAGTATATACTGAAGCAAATAAAAAATGACTTTGGACCCCCCTAGATAACGTGGACCCGAACATCGCCACCACGAAATAGGTGTTATTCACGTTCGGGAAATGGAATTTACGGGGTTTTTTATTTGCTTGTCAACAAATTTTCTGGGTTTTAATACGTTTGGGAAAGGAATTTAGGTGTTTTTGTAAGTATTGGGCTAATATTTAGTAATTTTCATTATATTGAGGACTTTACTGATCAAGTTCGAGTGTAGTGTTGATTGACCCATTTTTGCGAAAACTTTGAAAATTTCTAATAATGCACTGTTTTCCGGTCTTTTTTTTTTTTTTTTTTTTTTGGCTGTTTTTATAGGTAATGAGTTGATTTTGATTATATCTTTTGACGACTTTCTGAATATTTCATACTTTCATGGTGATTTGTCTTTTTTCAGAAAAGTGATTGACGTTAAACTTTGAAAGTTGCTATTTCACTTCGGATTTTTTTTTTCTGTATGTAGATTGCCTCTTTCTACCTTAGGGATGCGAGATTTTATAGGTATCCCGGTGTATCATATTTGTTGCGTAATACGTATCTTGATACAGAGACTAAAATACCGGTATTTGATACAAAATTATAAATTCCATTAATTATTCATTTGTTCAAACTTTTAAATAACAAGTACAGGAAGTGTAAAAAAAAAAATGTTGAAAACAGTAATTCAATGACATCCAAACATGCTTTATATTATATAAAATTATAAATACAAATGAAAAAAGGTGAAGCTGTGTTTTTACGGCATATTCTTTAGAAAATTTATGGAATTCATTTAATATTGTAGTAATAAATTTGTGTAAAAGTATCACGATATTATCGTGACATTTTAGGGAAAATCATGATATATCACGATGCCAAATTTTTGGCGATATCCATCCCTATCTCTTTGTATTGATGAATTAAGATCAAATATGAATTTCGTGTTGATTGAACTATCTGTACTTATAAATTAATAAATTTTGCAAATAAACTCCGAAACGGAATCACCAGAGTTTTTACTTACTCCTCTAAGAATACACCAGATACTAGGGATGGCAATTTCAAACCGGTTAATCGATTACTCGGTCGGAACGATGGTAATCGGTTAGAAAATATGTAATCGGTTAGTCGGGAAAAAATATAAAACATGTAAATTTAAACACAATTTGCTTAAAATTCATTTTTAAAAGGTATCTTCTGCACAAAAGTTGATAATTTAGCGTTTTTTTTTTCAAATCTATTCAAGCTGATTTGAAGGCAATTATGGATTTCCTAATTGAGATCGCGGGGTAATTGGTCAGTTTTTGAAGTGTTAATTACTGTTTTTAAAAACACCATGTCGTTACCCGACTGTACTGCAATTCTTTTATGATATTTAAAAGATCACTGTTGAGCAAAGAATTAGTATGACTAATGTTTATCTTTTGCCGTTATTTATTAAATTATATTATTAGACAAACATTGTAAATTAAAAGAAAGTTCAGACCTAGTTTTGATTATGGTGACAAGACCCAAAAACCTTGTGTAACAAGTGCTCTGGAAAATTATCAACGTCTGCATTTCTCAGGCACGCATCATGGTTTTATATTTCTTGTCTATTGAAATTGAAATAAGAATTATGTTCATGCAGTTTCCTGATGAAGAAAAAAAAATTAATTTAACTTCTAACGTCTTATTAGTTTTCTTGTGTATATGAAAAGAGCTATACTGGGGGGGGGGGGGGGAGGGGGGGAGGGAGTATCAAGAAAATTAGCTTTTGATACGATTAACCGGTTAATCGGTCGGAACGTCTTGCGGTTAACCGATTAGCAATTCTGTATTCGATTGCCATCCCTACCAGATACAAATGATGTCCGTAAACTATATTTAGATTTCACTCGCACTGTAAGTATCGTACATTAAATTAAAAGTCTACTTTTATTTTCTATAAACAGCCATGAAATAGCAAAAACGTGAGTACGGTGGCATTTCCGGTTGGCGGATCTAAGTTTCTGGCACTTTTCAATGAAACCGACAACAATCAATAGTTTATTTATTTCATAAAACGTCATCACTGAATTATTCAATCAAAACTTGATTTAAATGACATAAAAGAAATAAGTTGTGATAACCGATTAAAAAGGGAAATATGCAAATTATTTTTGTCATTCACCTATCTTAATATTGACGGAAGCTTCGAGAACATCATATGGCATCGAGCCCGATGTTAAAAAGAAAAACGAGACAATTATAGCTGTAGGAACATAAGAAAAGCTTATGTGTGAATGGGCATTGAAATAATGGTAAATCATTGATAACACAAAAAGTTGTGAATATATTTTTATATCGAAAGACTATTACATATATGTAGTAGGTTTTCCTAATAAATTTATCGGTAAAATGTGTATGTATTCCTCACTGCTTACATGAAAAGAGAAAATTAATGAATAAGATATTGTTCAATTAAAGCTGTAAAATTTTGTGCTTTAATCAATACATTTCAGTTTTTTTTTTTTTTTAAATACAGTCTTTTGTATCAAATACTCGGCCTATTCATAAGGCGTTAAACGCTAATTTTTACACGGATACTTGCGTCTTGGTTTACGTATATGTATGAACCTGATTGATATGGTAAAGTACATTTTATACACATCAATAAGGTACATACATATTTATAAACGAAGACACAAGTACCTGTGAATTTTTACCCCCCCCCCCCAAAAAAAAAATTCAATTTATCAGTAAAATGTGCATATTCGCTGCTTTTAATTTATCCTTGACGGAAATGAAATAAGAGCATACAATATATAATATATATAACATAGTAAAACAGGTTTCACAATAAACTTCAATTAATGAAATTGTTATTTTTTCAACTTTTTACAAAAGGGGGTGGGATGGGGGGTGGGGACGCACATGCGGGATTTTGAACAAAGTATTTCTTCCTGCTATAACCCTGTAGGCTGTCAGTAGAAACTACAATATATTTTCTGTCGAAAGTGGTATAAATTCAATTCCCCGCGCTTGCGCGGGATTTCATCTAGTTTTTACAAAAGTTATGGTCTTTAGACTTTCAAAGTTTTGAATTATTTATTGTTTTGGACCTTTTTTATTACTTTGATTGTATGTGATCACCATTTCACACAGCTTAAGTATGTTTTAGTATAGACATCTGATTCCCGAAAACAAAAGCAGCAGTATTACATTCATGTGTCATTTCCCATTTCCATTCATTTTTATTTTCACACTCTTGGACTTGAAAAGGAGATGGGCGAACATAGCTTCAGACATATAAAAATCATGTTCAATTTGTGAATTTAGTATTTAGAGTAAACTTCTCATCAGTGAAATTTATGAAATTATGATAAACAAAACTTTTTTGAGGAAGATTTTCTCGGCAAAATTTATTCTTTTATTAAAAGATAATGTGGTATTCGTGGGGTTCGAACCCTAGCAGTAGAAATTCCGAGTATCATTTTCTTTCGAGACTAGCACACTAACCACTAGACTACACATGTCCTGATGAATAGGAGCATTTAAATCATGTGTGTGATATGACCCTTGACTCAATGGACTTCAAGTATTTCTCGTAAAGATGCGAATGTTATGTCATATACATGTAAAAGTATATTTTTAAGGTATATTGAGTTTTTGCTCCGTATTTTTGGTAACCAAAAAATGTATATTTTTATGCAAACGTTGAGGATTAACGTTCAAAAAAATGGAGCGAAGACCCATTTATATCGAAATAGTGTTATAGTATGAGAAAATAACTCTTTTTGCCCTCTTTAGTGTGTGTACATGTATGCTATTTTATAGGTTATAATTTCAGTTTGTGTGAGATTTTTGCCAATTGTAGAGATTTTACATAAAGTATATTTTAATGTTAGATGAAATATCAAGGAAAATTTTGATATAATTGAGATTTAATTTTTCACCTTCATGCTTGTCATACTATGGGCTTTTCGCTCTTCATGTTCACCCATCTTCTTTGTGATTTAAAACTTGCATGTCAGCTGGGGGCATTCATATTATATATATATATATATATATATATATATATATATATATATATATATATATATATATATATATATATATATAAAACTATGATATAAAAATACATTGACAAATGAATTATTTAATCATGCATATAACAACTAAGTAAAACATATCTCTGTGTATCTCTGTGTCGAACATGTAGACAAAACAATATTGTTATACCTTTAAAAATTGAAAAGTCTAACATTTCTAATGTTTTACTGAGCGGTCAAAAAAAATCGATGTTGGACTGGGGGGGGGGGGGTGTAAGATGTTTGTCCTTTCGATGAGATATTGGAGTCCTCTCTGACGTTTTTTTGCGTCACACTGTAGGCAGGGTCTACTTTATCTTTTTTCCATTCGTTAATGATCGACTGTTACGGAATTGATCGAGATAAATCAGACGTAAACAAAATGAACATCAATCATTGCAAGAATCAAACATGGAAGTCAGTGCAAAATAGGTCAAAATAAAAAGCTAATGGTATTAAAAAAAAAAAAAAAAACAAAAAAACACACACACACACACACACACACACATACACACACACATTTATTGAATGGTTCTCGGGCAGAATGCTTTTTGCCGAATCGTCGAATCAAAATGTTTGCCCTTGGTTCTTGGGTTCAACAAATTGCATGTTGCCCTCGAACCCAGTCAATTTAGATGTATGACATTTCCAGGATGTAAAACACAGTCAATTGTTTCTGTAATATTTTAACACATAGTATAATAATAACACAAGGTATGTAACTCCGATTTAAATATAGTAACCCCCCCTCCCCGATACTTTACACTTTTTGAGAAAATGCACTGGCAAACTGTTTATTACCATTGTCTTTTATACCTTAATTTATCTACACAATCATATACATGTATATAGCATGTTTGTCTTTATTTTCTTTTATCTCCATAAAGAGCGTCACCGACTGGAAAATTTGACTCGCATCACGAAAAGGTATGAACTAATCTTGGGCAGAGAGTAAAGTTTAGAATGATTGGGTTTCAAAATTTAATTCCAATAATATATTGCAAGGAATGAATGAAAGCTTTTTGCTTCTTATTCCGCCAGAGATTAATACATACCGCTTCATGATGTGAGACGAATAGTTAAATCCACATTTTTCAAAAGTTGTTTCCAGGGCCGCCATCTTTGGGGAGAAACCCATAGAATCCTCACTGTAGCCTCTGTACTTTTCTAGTTTATAACTTTGTCATTTTACCGGAAAAAAATATTTGCAGCTTGTAATATGATTGCTCCAGGCTGGGGCTACCCATATTAAAGAGAAACATAGGTAATCAGAGATTACAGTGCTCACCTCAAGGAATGTTGTCTTTAAGTAAGGCAAAGTCCCAAACTAATAATCTAGTAGTGTGCATCCCTAGATGCAACATTTATGCAATTTTGGGTTTGCAGTTACTTTGGAATGGACTTATCTAAAAACTTTAAACTAGTCACTCATCCAGAAAATGTAAGTCATACTCAAATCTGAAGCAAGTTTGAGAGTGTTCGTCCCTTGATACATCATCCATGCAAGTTTGGTTCAGATAGGCCTTATAGTTACTTGGAAATGAGGTCTGCTCCAGAAACTACTTAGATGTATCATCCATGCAAGTTTGATCAACATAGGGCTTGCATTTATTTGGAAATGAGATCTGCTCTAAAGACTTTAACCTGGTCACTCATCCGGAAAATGTAGGTCAGATCCAGCATCCGAAGCAAGCCTGGTAAAATTGTGTGCATCCTTAGGTGTATCATCTATGCAAGTTTGATAAATATAGGGTTTATAGTTACTTGGAAATGAGATCTGCTCCAAAAACTTTAACCTGCACCAAAAATATTAAGCTGGTCATTCTTTAGCTGAAATTGCAGCATCCTAAACCTTGACTGGTACAATGATACACACTAGAAATCTGCTCCAAAAACTTTAACCTTGGACGCCTACACCGACGCCGAGGTATTACATAAGCTCCCTCAACTTCGTTGAGGTGAGCTAAAAATGAAATCACATGGCCCAAATTTTTGGTAGCATTAAGAAGAGAAACATAATTTCTTTCCCTTTGGACCTTTTGGTTGACCCCGTAGAGGGATGTGTCCACAACTTTCCAATGAGAATTTCCCGTCGGCGAGAAGAGTTTTGACGCTGTTTACGGAGATAAACGAAAATAAAGACAAGCATGCCATATAAGGTTGTGTAGATAAATTATCGTAGAAGACAATGGTGATAAACTTTTTGCCAGTGTATTTTCTCTGAAAGTGTAAATAACTGCGATTCTGGGGAGGTGGTACTCCATGTAATTCGGAATAGATACCTTTTGTTATTATTATGCTATGGGTAAAAAAAATATTACAGAAACAAGTGCCTGTGATATAAAAAAAAAATTACTTTTAAATGGGTCAAACCGAGTACCAAAAAGACTTAAGTGCTATCTCCAGGCATGGAGATAAACATAAATGACGTAATAATGCATCAATACTTTCACTGACGTCACAAGATACGAAATGGTGCTCTATTTAGTACAGACGATGTCGTGTAAAGTGAAATCATGCAAGGGCGAATTGTCTCTCCTTGCGTCTTCAGTAGTGTGCTTCGGCTTGTTTTTATGTTTACTAGTTTATGCATATATGATTTGCTTGGTATATCATTTGCAGTGTTCCAACAGATCAAGTAATACGGTGGTGTCGCTGATATTTCTCTGTTTGGCTGTGATGCAGTTGACTGCCTTTTTCATTGTTAGAAACCTCAAACTTAAGGAAAAGGTTGCAAAATTTACAAAACAAGAAATACAACTGATGCCTGAGGCAAAGTTGGAGGTATGTACATACTTCTACGTAATTTAAAGAAATTATTATCCTTTCTGGTCGCCATACTATCTTGTTTCAGTTGTGGAGTTGACGAACGTGGATGAAAATTTAAATCAACCAAAATATGCATTATTCCTTGCAGTTCAGTAGATTGCGTATGGAATTTATGTCTCTGTTTAAAAGAACAGTACACGGTGGTTTGTATTGTAGATATATTTTATGCTACCGTTTAGTTTGATGACGTTCAGGTTCAAGAGCGGTAAACAATACAGTGGTTAGTGGCGGATCAAAGAAAAGAACTTTACAAGCGGCACGTCGATTTACCCAAATGGAAATCAAAATGGACCCAAATGGAAACCGAATGGAATATTAAATATATATAATCGTATTATCAAGTTGTTACATGTGCTTATTTAAAATGATGAAAATAATGAACTTACAAATGGAGAATTTTAATAAATTATGCATTTCTAATATTGTATTTATTTTCTTTAGTATTATTTATATCGGCAAAATTATTGGGGGGGGGATGAAGTAAACCCACGCCCCTCCCCCCCCCCCCCCGGTTCCTACAGCTATTCTTTGAGAAGAAAGGTTTACGCGAACCCCATCTTTCCGAAATCGACCAGTTTTGTACATGAAAGGGTTGAGAAATTAGTTACAATACTTTTGAGCCAATTTTTACATGTATATTAGCTCTCATTTGTTTATAGTATGCATTTGAAATCGTTTATTATCTAAAAAAAAATTCTGGTAACATTGTCGTTTTCCTCTTTTCAGACTCAAAGCTAAGCAAGAGAGAATATTGGAGAAATCGTTACAATTGGGAAAAGCAAGTAAAAATGGACTGGCTGGTGGATGCAGACAAAGTTTCTGAAAATCTTGAACCCAAAATTCAGCACCTCTATAAAAGATTGGGCAAAGTGTGTTTGAACATTCTCGACCTTGGTTGTGGAACATCAGATGTTGCATCAGTGCTCCTAAAGAGATGCAGGTCAGCCATAGACATTTATTGTGTAGATTATTCAGAAGGAGCACTTCAGTGGCAGAAAGGGCTGCTTTCTGCATTGAATCAAAAACATGGGAACATTATGTCGAATTACAGGCTTGTTATGGCAGATATTTGTCAGCTGCCTTTTAAAGATAATTTTTTTCATGTGATCCTTGATAAAGGAACCATTGATTCTCTTCTTAAATCTGAAGATGGTCAACAATTGGCAGAAAGTTCTATGAAAGAAATTTTACGTGTGATGCATCCTGCTGGAAATCTGTGGCAGATCACTGATGAAGATCCCGATATTAGATTACTCTTTTTACAAACAGTACAGAAAGATACCAAGAAGAAATATTCCTCTTCATTCGAGATCTTGCTGAGTGATAACATAAATGAATACTTTCTGTATACTGTCAAAGAGGATACTCGTGAAAAACCTTAAATTAATTCTAGTTTTCATTTATATTTGTAAATTGTTGTTGTTGTTATCTTAAATGTATGAAATTTGTAATTTGAAACATAAATCTTTAAATAACATTTCCAGAGTTTAAACATGAATGAAAAGAAGCTCGTGGTTTTTATTAATTCTAATTAATAATGAAGAAAGTTTTTATTTAATCATTATATGAACTAGAACTGTCTAAAAGGGACAAATACCCCCTGCAGGTTTTTCAGAGAAGGTGCCAAGTCGCTAATAGTATTTGATGGATCTAAGAGGTGTTCACAGTTTATTTAATCATTTAGAGTGAAAATTTACCGGTAATTGCTCATTAATTTTTTTTAATGAATGAAACTAAGGCACACCCTAATAAAACATCAATACTTATAATGACTTTTTTTAATTACATTAAAAAAATAACAATTTTCAAGTATTTCTCTGTTGGAAAGTATGGATGCATTATTTATCCATTTTTTTCTACAGTGACTATAGGTCAAGATCATGACACACCCTCAGGTCATCAGCAATCTTTGTGTGAAATGGAAACTCCCAACATCCCAACATTATTCTCCATAAGAAAGATACAGACCGGACATGAATTATGAACTTTTTCTGTCAGAGATCTTAAACTTGCCCAAATGACCTTGCGTCAAGGTCTTGACACACCCTCAGGTCATAAGCAATCTTTGTGTAAAATGGAAACTCATTAAGTTTATCCATAAGAAAGATATGGACCAGACACAAATTATGAACTTTTTCTTTCAGTGACCTTGAATTTGCATAAATGTCCTTGGGTCAAGGTCATGCCACTCCCTCAGGTTATGAACATTCTTTGTGTGAAGTAGTAGATTCTGATGTTCCTCCTTAAGAAAGATATGGACCGGACACGTTTGTACAGACAGACAAGGTGATAAACCCCCCCCCCCCCCCACAGGTATAATTAAAAATCTTCGAGATTGATTTTTGTTCAGATCAACAATGTATTCATTAATAAAAGTACAGATTATATCTAAAATGGAAAGAATTGTCTCAGGATATACATGTATTACAATAATGCATACAGTAGAAACTATTGATAATCATTTTACATCTATACATTGTATGCATGGAGTATGAATTTATAATTTACGTGTACAAGTGTGTGACTACACTCAGTACAGTCTGGTTTTGGGCAGTTTATGTTTTATAAACCATAAAGCAATTCGCATAATGAACAGAGGGATACTCTGATTTAAATAAGTCCTATGAAATTTATTCCTTATTATTTAATTTTCTACCATTAAGTTAAGAAAACAAAATGATTTGTCCTTAAAAATGGTTTAAGACAAGAATTTCATTTTATCAGAATGATCAAACATTAATATGTATATACTAAATAACAGGTACGTGTACAGGAGAAAGTAAAACAAGAAATGTGGTAAAACTTAAGTTTTATTTTCGATAAAAGACATGATAAAGAATATAATTTAACAAACAGTCCATTCAATTGATAAAAATATCCTATAACAAAAAAGAAGGATGGAAATCAATACATGTAGAATTTGAAGTTTTTCATCTTAATGACATTGCTATAAATTTTTAACAAAATGTTATTTGTACAAAATTGAAAAAATAGCACTGTTTGGATCTGGAAAAAAAGCAGACTGATCAAATACTGTACAATACCTTTACCATTATGTTTTATTTTTCTGTTAAGGAAGGAGTGATCAGAGACAAAAAAATAATTAGAAAATCAAAAATATGCACTAGTTAATTTACTGTTTACAGAGGCTTTTTTTTCCTTTATGTATTAATTATGAATAGGATTATTATGTGCTAACAGAGTTATTCCTTAAATAAGGCTTTGAAAAAATACTTTTGATTCCACTTTCCCTACCGAGCCTAATTTACGGTGCTGACCTCAATTTTTAAAATCCATTTTTCGGTGGAAATCTGATTTTTTTTTGTTTTGTTTTTTTTGTTTATGCAAAATGTATAAATTTTTAGGTCGCAGTAATGCTTTAAAGCATTATTTCTTTTCTCATCAGTATTAATAGTTATTTTGTTTAAGAAGTGCAACCAAAAAAAAAAAAATTAAAAACAATGCTTACATACCTACCCCCTTTTTTTTTAACCCCAAAAGCAGAAATTTATTTTCTTTCTAGGTCTAAGTATTCATGTCTTTTCATCCACTCATAATTCCATCAATTTTGTTAATATAAACACGGAACATACCCAGGGTTGAGGAAGCTTAACTACTTAATTTTAAATTTATTAAATCCTTGAATGATATTCAACATTTTTGAATTAAAAAAAAAGCAGTAGAAAATTTTACATTGAAGGAAAATAAACATTTAGCATAGAAACACATATATATCAGTACATGTATGTACTTCTACATATGCATGAACAGCATCAATTTCTATCCCCTGTAAGCTGTCTGTTAGAGTCAACTGGAGCATCCCCCTCCTGGTCACTGCTTTCATGACCCTCCCTCAAATCCTCATATCTGTTGTCATTCTCAATAAGCTGTTCCACATTAGGAATATTTAACTCTTGTGTTGCAAGCTGAACAATTTCATCATCATCACTGTCCTCTAGATTAACATTGAATTCATCTATCACAGGGTCACCGACAGAATTGAATACATAATCCTCTGCATAGAGTTCTGACTGATCATCATGTACATCTTCGCTACTGTCATTGTCACTACTTGAATTAGCTGTTAACTCTGATGAATAACCATTCATTAATGCTTGGGAATTTTCTTCTGTACATCTCTCTAAATTAGTAGCTTGAGAATTATTGTTATCATTACTGACATCTCTCCCTATACTAGCACTACTACCACTGTGATTCAAAGTGGAGCCCTCATTTAAATCAATACCTGGTCCATCTTCGCAATATCTCTCCAAGTCTGAATGTGTGGACTGAAAATTTTCCACATCTCTATCTTGTTCCTCAGGGTTTTCATCAGTATCATCATTGGAGTCCATTTCTGTATTGTCTAACACATCCCCATCCTCTAGTTCTCCCAGGCTCTTGGCTATCCTTCTGTATCTTGTTTCTCGTAAAACACCTTTGGCACGCTGAGTCTTTGGATGATCTGGGCCTAATATTTGTTCACTTACTCTTGCCCATTTTTTGAAGTACTCGTAAGCTTTTTTATAATCATTATTGTCCTCGTATACAATTCCAATGTTGATATACAGTCTTGATGTCAGAATATGGTACTCGCCGTACATCTGCATGCATAGATCTTTAGCAGTGTTATATAACTGCAATGGCAAATGAACAAAAAGATAAAACATAGTCAGTAAATGTAAAATGAAATGGTGACCCCTTCATTTAAATCATGATGAAGATCAACCAAATTACATTTTGTGCAAAACCACAAGAATTGTTACTTAGAAATGACTCACTTTTAATTGTTCCATACTACCCCGTGGTGCCAGCACACCTTTAGTCATCTGAGCTTCTGCATAATGGCCCATGTCATTCAGCTGTATTTAATATTAAGGAAAATACATGTATAAACATTCTTATAAACAAGAGACCCAAGAGCCTTTACAGTCTCCTAAGTATAATACAACCCTTAGCAGAGAAGATTTTCAAAGAATTTACGCATTTTCATTGTATAATTAATAGAGCCCAACCCTAACACCAGAACCCCTGATACAGGAATAAGAATTTCACAATTTTGGGAGAGGCACCCTTGTTCATTATAATCATCACAATTATGCACTCATTTATCTGCAAAACACACAAGAGCAGATATGTTTTTCAAAGAATTAATGCATTGTCACTACATAATCAAATTGATTCAATACAGCTTTTCAGTTTGGAATAGGCACCCTTGTTCGTTATAACCCTGCACTTAATTTTTTTCTTTTAAATCCAGGAGTTGGGAAGAAGATTTTCAAAGAAATAATGTACTTTCAGTATATAATAAACAGAGCCCACCTTAATACTAGAACTCCTGCTATGAATTTCACAATTTTGGAAAAGGCACCATAACTCGTTAAAACCATGCACTTAATTTGTCTGCTAAATGGACAAGGGGGTACAAGATTTTTTTCAAATTTATGCATTTGCACTTAATGATCAGTAGAGCCCTGCCCTAACTTCAGAATTCCTGATCTAGGGGCCAGGAATTTCACAATTTTCAAATGAGGACTCTATCTTATCATATCCATGCACTTAGCTTATGGAGCAGAGAAGATTTTCACAGAAATAATACATTTTCAATATAATATAGAGCCACGCCTCAACACCAGAACCTCCGACAGAGTGACCCAGGGGATTTAAATTCAAGATTTTTAGGACCCATGTAAAGAAGAAGATTTTTAAAGATCACATAAATTTTAATAGTTTTAGCCACACCCCTCAGGCCCCAGGGGGACAGGGATCATGATATTCACACATTTTTGTTCCCTTTCAATGTGCTATATATGCCAAAATTTGTTGAAATTGGTTCAGTTTCAGAGAAGAACCTGAAAATGTTCAAATGTTAATGCATGACACAGGATGAAAACAGAGAACAATAGGTCACCCGAGTGGCTCAGGTAGACTAAAAATACTGTTTAAAGTCTGTTTGAAAACCTTCCACAAAAGTTAATTTAGGGATCAATCTTTCCTTTGTGATATAGGTAGGCCAATTATTAAGGTTCAAAACTTAACAATACATGTTCCTCCATTAGCCTTTGTGAAGGTTGCAAGGTAAAGGTGTTCTTAATCTTTTAAAGTTTTAAAACATACCTCTTCAAATATTTCCAATGCTTTGTCAATATATTTATTTCCCACTTCTAAGGCCTGTTCTCCAGATAGATCACTGCCCCCTCCACAGGCCTCCCAGCTCTCCATGTTGAAAGCCAGCTTCATGAAACTCATACCTAGCTTAAACTGTTTAACAAGTTGTAGCTATTTAATAATTTCTTTTATTTTATATTGACATTTCATTTCTAAATACACTAATAAATGTAGGTGGAAATGAATACAATATAGATTTAGGTGTATAACAAGATGTGTTTGTGAAACACTGATGCCCCCGTATGGCAGCTCATGGCGAAGGTTATTGTTTCTCAAATGCAAGTCAAAATCCAGGCCAAAAGATAAAAA